GCTTTTAGGTTTGGGTCTAAAGCTTAGGATTTACAGTGACCAAGGGACTAAAGGAGAGACCCTTAAAGGGACCCCTGCGGTTCGATAGGGGCTTGAGGAGACTTTGTAGGGGGTATATAAGGGTGATATAGGGTACTAGGATAAGGGGTCCCTTCTAGGGGTCCCTCCGATTTTCCCTTAAAGTGAAGCCCGGAAATCCCTAAAACCCTCAACCGATAACCGACAGAGTAACAGGAACTAGGGTTTAGGTTTTAGGGTTTTGGGGGGGGAACCAAGAGCAATTATTGCGCTGTTCACGAAGCCACAGTCAGTAGTCCTCATACTTCACAGTGTGTCGAAATGAAGAACAAGAAACAACCCCCCCTCAACAAAAAAACGGACTCTGAATTGCGGCAGCCCCTATGACCCTATGACATACCAAGAACCACACTCTTCGAAGCAATGCAAAGCAGAACCTGACCATGATGCCTGTTATGAACCCCTGTAGACTGTAGACCACAGTGGCACCTGAACGCTAAAGCCTAGTCCTAAACACCAAATTAAAGGAAACTACAAGTGGGGAGTTTGGGGTATATAGGGATTCTATAAGGCTTCTATAAGGTATATGGACCTTCTATAAGGCTCCTATAACGGTAACTACCCACCTGAAAATGTCCTAGACTCTACTTAAATATCCGAAATGTCAACCCCCAAGACCCTAAAGCCACGAACCGAACTCCTTGTTGGCCTTCTTTCCCTTGGGAAGCTGCAGAGCTACTGCATGCTGCGCAGGCAGGCGAAGCCGAGGAAACCTTAGCATTCAGGTCGGGTTTAGGGTGCTTAAACCCCTAACCCAAGAGGGTTCAGGGTTTAGGGTTCAGAGTTTGGGGTTCAGAGTTTAGGGGCGTTTTAGGGTTTCGGGTATTGAAGTCGTCCCGAGACCCCTGAGAAGATCTAGAAAGCAGCACCCGGAATTTGGGAACCTATACCACGGTTAAGGATAGAAATTCTGCACTACCTTAAGGACCCTAAACTATGGGAAGTATGGTTAGATTCCTTATTATGGGTAATGCAGGATTTGTATCATCAACCGTACGAAAGGTAAGGTTTCGGGTTAAGGGTTCAGGATAGTTCATAATTAGGAACCCTTTTCACCTTCAGGACCAAAAGACCCTAAAAAGTAAAGGCCCTGCACCCTTATACTATGAATCCCTATATGGTATATGAACCTTAAGCCCTTTTTGGGCTCATTTCGTCTTTAAGGCAAGGGATCTGTCTTTTGGATCCTCGCAGGGTCTGGGTTTATTGAAGGAAGATGGGACTTCGAAAGAAGGGTAGAAATGGTCGTGAGTGCCGTAGGTGAGAGAATCTATTCTAAAGCCGGCTTCTCCTCCTTAGTAACCATGCTTCCACTAAGAGACATCGGGGATTGGGCTGGATGGGTTTAGAGTTCGGGGTTGTGAGGTACTGTCAAGGGCTCTTTCAGTGCAGTGTTTAGGTTTTAAAGGGCCCCGCTTCAAGCTGTCGGGCTCAAGGCCAACAGGGATTCGCAGCCCAACCCTCCCTCCCCCCCCCCTCCCAAAGAACCAAAAAAAGAAAAGCCTTACTAGAACTTTACGGGAACATTTAGGGCAACCCTCCAAAGACAGCCAACACCCAGTTAGAACCCAAAACCGGGCCCCTTAGAGCTCTGAGAAACAAACCGTCGGGGGACCCCTGACAGAAAACTCAGCTTCGTTTGAGGAGCCCAATTGAAAACTTTTAAAAGGACCTTTGGGAGAAGCCTTATACAGAAACTCCTAACCCTCAACCCTGAACTCCTAACCCCTAAATCCCTAACTCCTAAACCCTAAACCCCTAAACCCCTAAACCCTAAACCCTAACCACGTTTGTTTTTGCCAGCCTTTCCTTTCAGCACCCGAGCTGCGGTGGGTCAAAGGGCAGCGGCTGGAGTCCCAGGAACCTTTCAACGGAGCAGAGACCCAGGGTTTAGGGGTTTAGGGTTTAGGGTTTAGGGGTTTAGGGTTTAGGGGGGAGTAGAGACCAAGATCTTCCAAAACCCCTCTTAATTATGGAATAGACCCTAAAATTCTAGTAGGGGACCCCAAATATAAGATTAAGGGTATATTTCCTTAATTAAGGGTTTTGGAGTCTCTGGGCAATACGGGCTCTATAGTAGGAGCTGCCATTATGATATGGTTTCTACACTAGGAATTACGATTATAACCAGACTTTTCGAACAGGAACTACTACTTACTTCAATGTGGTTCCGATATACCACGAAGTTCTATTATGGTTTGGGGAATTATCACCCCCCATATGACCCCTTTGGGAATGTGGTAATAGGTTTTCTTGTTGAAGCGGTTCAGGTTGTGAGTTAAGGGGCTTGGGAGCTGCTTCATGGCTTAGTAGCGTTTTGGGGTAGGTGTCTTCAAAACACGTGTGGAGTTTGAGGGCTTTGTGTTTAGGGTCGAAGAAAATTAGGAACTGCATGGCATGGCTCATGCCTGTTTCAGGTAACTAGAGGTGTTGGGGCTTTGGGATCCAGTTCAGACTCCAGAGCAACTAAGACTTTAGGGTTTAGGGTTTAGGTATAAGTCTTGCGGTTAAAAGTCGTAGCAATGTAGGTTGGTCTGTTTAGGATGTCACCACTGGGGCACTTGGACCCTTACAGGCCGTACTACTCCAGATCGCCAGACAAGATCACCCCGAGGCATGCCTGCAAAAGCTCAACCCCCAATCCTCCGACAACTTCAAACCTTAAACCACAAACCCACAAAGCTGAAACCTCAAACAATAAACCTTCACACGCCGGCAACACAAAACCAAAACATCATCCACTGTTCCGGTCTGTGCCTTGCCAGCCCACGGGTGTCAACATTGCGGATGTCTGAAGCATCCTGAGGTGCATGGTCAGGCCCGAAACCAAAAATCCTGAACTCTAGATAAATCCTAAACCGAACAAGCCCTCAACCCTAAACCAAAAAAGCACGAACCTTAGTTCGTTAGTCATGAAGACCCACAAGGTGTATGTTAAATTCGGCATACGTATCAGCTGCCACATCCGTGCGCATTACCCAGATTTAGGTCCCTAACATGGTTGGGGGGCTTTCGATTTATATGGGGGTAGTTCTCTAAATTAGGGTCCCTTTTAGTGTCATTTTTATAAGGGGTGCCGTACTCTATTGGGGACCCTTCAAAAAGGGGCCCTCGTTTAGAGAACTACCCATATACCGTAAGCTACAGTACCCTTCAATCCACAAGGGGAAAGCCGCGCCCGTGACGGCATTTGGGCATGAACCCTACCCAGAGAGCCCAGAATACCCCCTTAAAAATAAAGAATATATGGCTTAAATTAAGAGGGCTTCATATTATGAGTTTAGCTATACATTGCTTATTTAAGGGCTATTGGGCTCGCTAGGTACATGCATACTCATCGGGTACTTTGGACGCCTTCAGGGCCCTGAGCTTTTGATACGGTTCAACATATCCAAAGAGTACCACAAAGTATGGTCTGTTGATCCAAAAGACGTGCAACAGGAGTCGTCAGAACAGGATTAAGGCGTCGCAAAAAACCCTGAAGCCGGTACAGCCTTACAGAGCACTCAAAATTAGACTTAGAATGATAAGCCTTAGCGCAACCCTTAAACCAGTAGTTCAGCTGGGAATCCACTTTGAAGAGCTTCGCGCGAGGGACCAGGCACTTCACCAGGCGCCGATGCGCCTGGGCACATGGCACGGTTTAGGCTTTAGAGTTCAGGTTTAGGGCTTTAGGGTTTTAGGGGTTTAGGGCTTTAGGGTTTTAGGGTTTAGGGAGGCTTTACCTAGTTCCTTTTTATGGTTTATATTTAGAATCCTATAAGGTAATCCCAAAAAAAGAACTACTTAGGGGCCTATGGGTAGAGTTCAGGGTTAAGGGGAGATTTTACATGACTTGGACCTTACTTCAGGTAACTCGTGTACCCTAAGGGTCCATGTACCCAAATAGATATACTTAGGCCTTAACGTAGTCCCTATATGGGTACTTTAGGGTCAAAGCATAATCATATGGATACATGGACCCTTAGGGGTAGATTACGGCATGACAATAAAACAATGGTGCATTGTCGATGTTTGCAGAGTACCGTCGTCTCTAGATAGGGCTGAAACCGGCGGATTTAAGATGTAGGGAGGCTTAAGAGTTGAACGGTTGATAAAGCGGGCCTGTTATGCAGGTTACTGGCTGTAGCTCATACAAAAAAACGCCTATCTGTTCAGCTGTATATAGGGAGTACATGGAGCCTTAATTTTTATTAGGCCCTAGCCTCGCACTCCTGGTTAGTAGCGAGGGCCACTTTCGCTACAGCACCTGGCCGTGTAAGGTTTAGGGTAGGACTTAGGGTTTAGGGGTTCAGGGTTTAGGGTCTAGGGCTTAGCGGTTTAGGGTTTGGGGTTTTAGGGGTTTAGGGTATACTGACTTTTGGTCCCCTCTGTCCGCTTTGTCTTTCGAGAAAAGACCTGAAGAATGCAGGCCGAAGCCATCCTTTGGGCTTTTCATGCGGGCAAACCTAAATCGTTATGCCTAAATCCTGAACTCTTATCCTAAGGGTCCAAGTACCTAATAATCATGTATTCTTCTGAATACTAGCTTACAAAACTACTATCCGTAACCCAAGTATATGATTATTAGATCCTTTGGACCCTTAGACTTGTAGTCTTGTCTGGTTGGCCTTCTATTTCCCTTCAGGGATTTTACCCATATAAGGGGAACCATAAAACATGTTTGACTCCCTCCGTCGCCTCTTTTTGCTTCGCCGCACTAGTCAAGCAGTGTGTTTCGCCTGTGGCTAACACGGTGGAGAAGCACACCGAAGCGACCACTAAAAGAGCTTTAGCTCAAAAGCCGCAGCAAGCAGCGTCGACTCGTCGAAAGTGTTTTCTCTTC